GAGTGGCAACCGCAGGATGAGCCATTGGGCCAGTTGGCCTGCTGTCTCAGGGATTCTTTGAACGGTTTCGATCGCTCGGCTCAAAAACAGGCCGAACAGGTGTGTGCTTGATTCCCCCCTCCCCCTCCCACTCTCGCATCTGCGAATTTCTGTCTGCCCGCCTCAACTGTGTTTCTTCCCTTTACCTATACTGTCCCTGAGACCTTGCCCTTATGTCAGCACTTATCCTATGTTATCACCCCATCTCAAGAAAGAAACCTTCTGAGCTGGTCTGCTACCGTTGAAAAAAAAAAAAAATCAAAATGACTGACTGGAGCTCTCTTTCGATCTTTTTCTTTCATCTGATAGATGCTAGTACAAGCAACTTCCTCTCCAGACTATGTCAACTATATTACCTACCTCTTCTGCACTGCACAGCCCCCTTCGCATCTCGGTATGAACGAGGAAACCTACAACCTGGTCCGTTTCGCCGCAGCCGTGAACCTCAAGACCAAGATCCGCGTCGCCTACGCCACAATTCCTCAGACCTCTCTCACCTATATTCGATCAGCGACTCTGACCAGTCTACGCGACAACAATTTACAAGTCCGGAACTTCGCCGGTACGATCATCACAGAGTTGGTTCAACAAGCTGGATTGTTGGCATGGCCGGATGTCCTGAACGAGCTGCTGGCGCTGGTCGAGAATTCTGGAAACGTACCGAGCTTCGCTCAGGAGGCAGCCATGTCCGCTCTCGCCAAGGTCTGCGAAGATAATCGCAAGATCTTGGATCGCGATTACCAAGGACAGTGTCCGCTCGACGTAATTATCCCGAAGCTGCTCGAGTTCACCTCCAACCAGAGCGCCAAGGTCCGTTCGATGGCCCTCCGCACAATCCACGTCTTCCTTCCCCACCGACCCAAGGCGCTTGTCGCCTCCCTGGATTTGTTCCTGTCGCAGCTGTTCCAATTGGCCAATGATTCGAGCACAGATGTCCGCCGGACGGTGTGTCAGACCTTCGCCCAACTCGTGGATTTCGCCCCGGAGAAATTGGTTCCGCACATGGAAGGGCTGGTCAACTATATCATCATGCAACAGAGCAACCAGGAGGATCCGGAGCTTGCCCTCGATGCAGCGGAGTTCTGGCTGGTTGCGGGTGAACAAGTGAAGCTGCAGCAACCACTAGCCCCGCATATGTCCCGGATCGTGCCCGTCTTGCTGCGGAGTATGGTTTATGATGAAGACGAGGCCAACCGCTTGGCGGCAGAGGGCGAGGATGCGGAGGAAGAAGATCGCGATCAAGATCTTAGACCTCAGTTTGCGAAGTCGAAAGGCGCTCGTCTGGATACTTCTAAGCCGGACCAGACCAACGGCAATCCCGCTCCTGAGGACGATGACGATGAGCTGAGCGAGGGTGAGATCGAGGATTCGGAGTTCGGAGACGACCCCGAGGATGAGTGGACCCTCCGCAAGTGCTCCGCGGCGGCTTTGGACGTGTTTTCCAACGTCTACCATGACCCGATCTTCGAAATCATCCTGCCCTATCTGATGGAAACCCTTCGTCATGAACAGTGGACACAGCGCGAAGCTGCTGTTCTGACTTTGGGGGCCGTTGCTGATGGTTGCATGAATGCGGTCACGCCCCATCTCCCGGAGCTCGTTCCTTATCTGATCTCGTGCCTCAATGATTCTCAGCCTGTCGTTCGCCAGATCACTTGCTGGTGCTTGGGACGGTATTCCGAGTGGGCTTCCCACCTGGCCGACCCTGCGGAAAGGGCCCGCTACTTTGAGCCCATGATGGACGGTATCCTGCGTCGCATGCTGGATGGGAACAAGAAGGTTCAAGAGGCAGCTGCATCGGCTTTTGCAAGCCTTGAGGAGAAGTCCGATGCCAACTTGATCCCTTACTGCGAGCCCATCCTTCAGCAGTTCGTTCAGTGTTTCGGAAAATACAAGGACCGGAACATGTACATCCTGTACGATTGTGTGCAGACCCTGGCGGAGTGCGTCATGGGTGAGTTGGCGCAACCTCAGCTGGTGAACATCTTGATGCCTGCTCTTATCGACCGCTATAACAAGATCGCCGACCAGTCTCGGGAGCTTTTCCCTCTGCTTGAGTGCCTTGGGTATATTGCCGCCGCTTACGGAGATGCGTTCGCCCCATTTGCGCAGCCTCTTTTCCAGCGCTGCATCAAGATCATCTATGAGAACCTGCAGGAGTATATGGCCTCAGTCAGCAACCAGGGTGTCGAGGAGCCTGACAAGGATTTCTTGGTTACTAGCTTGGACCTCCTGAGCGCAATCATCCAGGCGATCGATCCGCAAAAGAGCGGCGAACTGGTGGCCAACTCCCAGCCGCGGTTCTTCGATCTTCTCTGCTTCTGTATGGAGGACCCGAATTATGAGGTCCGTCAGTCGTCGTACGCCCTGCTGGGTGATTGTGCCATCAACATCTACCCCCAACTCGAACCCTTCATTCCTCAGATCATGCCAACTCTGATCCAGCAACTTGATCTGGATACGATCCGAGATGACGATCGGCACACGGGATTCAGTGTGCTCAACAACGCCTGCTGGTCTTGCGGAGAGATCGCGGTCAACGAGAAGGCGGCTTTGTCGCCGTACGTCGAGAAGCTGTACCAGAGGCTCTACATCATCATCAACAACGAAGAGATTATTGATTCTGTGAACGAGAACGCTGCGATGGCGCTGGGTCGGTTGGGAATCTGCTGCTCGGATCAACTTGCGCCTCGTCTGAACGAGTACGCCGGCGTCTTCTTGAAGTCGATGAACAAGATCGAATTCACCCGCGAGAAGGCGTCAGCGTTCCTGGGCTTCAACCAAGTAGTCATGAAGAACCCGCAAGCCATGGAGTCATTCCTGGGCGATTTCTTCCAGGCCATTGCGGCCTTCCCCAGCAAGTCTTTGAACCAGGATGACTACCGGGACATTCAAACATCTTTCCAGCAGGTATGTATTTGAGATTTCAGTTCGGTCCGGGATTGCGCTAACTGGGATGTAGGTTCTGCAAGGCTACAAAAATATGATACCCAACTTCGATACCTTCCTGTCGCAACTTCCGGCCCACGTTGCCCAGAGACTTCGTTCTGTATATCAGATTTAGATCTATAATTTCTCATGTTAATGTCCCATTTGAAAGCTTCAAAATATCACATGGCGAAAGGCGTATAAAATTTTCATTCTCCTGAATTTCTTCTTTGCTGTTCCGTCCCTTCCTGTTCCAAGTTCAGAAGCCAGGAACTTGAGTGGCTAGTTGTTTTCATGCCGAGGGCCAGGAAGCACTCGCAGTTGATCTGTCTCTGATGTCCGGCATATGTGGATGAGGATGTCGAGCGATTTAGTCCTACGGCCACTGTGTGACTCCGTGACGATTCCGAGGATTTATGAGGGAGTGGTAGGGTGACCTGAATGAGTCACCATGGTCGGGATGTGATGCGATGCATGCTGGTCTGCTTACACCTATGTGATCATGATGAGAGGGGGATTGCATATGATGGACTTGTCACCGAGTCTGAAGTTCTTGAGTCTTATACCTAGCCTTACATAGATTCTATTCTAGTTTAGAAAAGTACATGATGCACAGGGTACTTCCTTTTGTCTATGGATACTTGGACATGTGGTCGTGGTGCGCCTCCAGTTTGTCTCGTTGGTCCGGTGTGTCTGGCTTGAGGAATGACACAGACACACTTTTTATCCATGATGATAGCCATGGTATTCCATCTCGACCAAAGTAGAACGATATGGTTTTCGGTCGCTGAGTGGAATGAACGGTGTCTCGATCCTCTCGGATTCATGCCTCATACACCACCCGTGCTAGAAAAAGGGGATCTCTCCCAGAGAACTGAAGTATCATCCTCCTGAAATTTGATTTCCCCTCGATCATGGGTGGTAACGTAGCGGATGTCGGAGCGACAAACGACAGATTCAAATAAATGGCTCTAGAAAGAAGAAAGTCTCTCTTTCTCCAGCGAGGAAAGAATTGGGGGGTGGCCTATTACAGGCCAGGCATCAGTGTCTGTAACTATGTACCGTACTGTAGTACCCCGGTGACATGTCACGGGTACTGCAACTCAGTGTGCAGATCAGGCAGGAAGACTCGCCGAACCCAGCCAACCAACCAGATCCGAGCCAACCTCTGATCTTCTTCTGCATCGTTTACAGTATCTACCTAGTAGCTAAATTAGCCTTCCTTCTCAGTCGTTTGAACCGCTGCTAAATTCCTGCTTCCTGCTTCCTGCTTCCTGCAACCCTAAACTACTAGTCTACCTCCTGTCACTTTCTTCTGCCTCGCGTAAGTAATCTCGATTGATTAGCTCGGCAAATCAAGATTCCTAGTACATCAATCTACGGGGTGGGACTGTTATAGTCAGGTAACTAAGACATAGGAGTGAGATATGCACCATACCATGTGGATATGGCATAGACATATCTCGACCAGAAGAAAAACCCCACTTCGTCAACGACGGAAGTAAGCGTCTGATTAGTGGTCTCGGGAGAAGGATTCATCTCCCCAGCGGTGGTGTCAGTTCAGTTTAGTCTACTTCGAGGTGAGTGAGATTTTGGCGGCCCCCGTTCGATACTACTTCTAAGCCTACCTAACTAAGTAGTCAGATCATGTTGTGTTGTGTTGCGATCGGCAAGAAGCCAAGCTTCCCCCCCCCCCCAAATTCGCCACGTGCTGGCTGGCTGACATGCCCATGCTTGCATTTCCCAAAGGGGAAGAGAAGGAGAATGCCAGACTACCGGAAAGTCAGGCCCCGTCGAGGCCGTTCATGCATGCAGAGGTTCTGGCCTAGTGGGTTTTTCAACCTACTGACAGGGTCAGGCTGGACTATCTAGTTCGAGTGAATTTTCTTTTGGGGGGGGGTTCAATCAATCTATTTCGGCGAGTTCGGAGGATCTCTGATCGACGGGTGATTCCTTTTGCTATGGGTTCCAGCCTTGCTGGATGGATGGATGGATGGATGGAAGTGTGAAACGGCGAGCCGTTTCATCCTTTGCTAGATTTGCATCATAATCATCAAGTAAATAGTGTTCATCATTATCATTGGAAAACTCAATCATGTAGTGAGTAAGTATTGTAGTAAGTGGTTGGTTGGTGGCTTGGTTCATATCATCGTCATCACCATCACACGTGTGGTGGTATAAGTTTGTAGCTCAATCAACATCGACAAGAGAAACACATGATTTCCACAAATCCAATCCTGTGGCCAAATCCCTTGCCTCCATTGTACCCGGATTATAACACAGCCCCTAACGCCGAGGGTATATCGCCAATGGATCATCCCATCCCATTCCGCCCTAGCCCTTCTGCAGGCTAGTAAGTTTCGCTCCGCTCTCTCAGTTGCAATCCATGCTGCACAGCTCATACCCTGGTGTAGGCATGAGAGAGAAACCAAAATCTCAATCTCTAGCATAGCATGAGAATGCAGAATAACGATGGGAAGAGTAAAAAAGATAAAAAAAGAAAAGTTTCATGTCCGCTTTATCCAGCCTTTCGCTCCCATAACCAAATCCCGATTTATGCCGTGTTTTTGTTCCGTAGCACCCGAAGAGAAAAAAAAAAAAAAAAAAAAAGAAATGCGCACGCCCTGAAGACGCGTAGTATCATTCAGGTGCAGACACTACCATTCCATCCTGCTTCTGGAACATGGTAGGCCCCAAACACGGGATGGGGTTCTTCGTAGAACTGCATGTTCAGCCCCACCGATCCATCCACACGTGGCAGCTCCCCGCAGACCACATCATTCATATATGGCGGCGGGAAGAGAGGCGAGTGCTGCAAGGACCCGGTGTGACTGTAATCTGACAAGTCTTCGCGTGGTTCGGAGAGTAACCCGGGCGACGGAGGGTAGAGAGCCTGGGAGGAAGGAGGAACTGTCACATAGGATCCGGTGACATCGAATTGAGGACTGGCGATCGTCACGGCGGGAGGCGACTGAAGGGGCGGAGTGTAGGGGGCGTAGGTGGCGGAGGCTGAGGACGGAGAAGAAGAGGAGGCGAGGCGGTAGTCGTGCGCATTGTGATAGGGGCTGGGAGGGGCAGGCGAGTAGTGATCGATCGAGGTGCGGGGAGACCATTGTAGACGGCTTTTGTATTTCGCAACAATGTGACGAGGAAGGTCCATGAACGATAGCGCAAGCTGAACCTCGGGGTTAAACGGATCCGTGGCGCTTCGAGAGACGATGAGCCGGTAGATCTCCTCAATCGGGCCCAGAGACAGTGGACCCAGATAGGCCCCTCCCAAATCGGGGAACAAGCTGTCCAGAACGACTCCGACGCCAAAGAATTGCGCCAGGATGGAAAGAGAACCGACATCGGCGTCTTCGGGCCGCAGCATGGCCGGTGGAAGCCAGAATAGCCACCGGCGGAGCGGTTGCATCCGCTCAAAAGCCTGTTCGGGTGTCTGAGAGAGAAGGTCTCGCTGGAAGTGTCGTACAAATTCGAGGAGTTCGCCAATCCGACGATAGTGATCGTGGTTGTGCGAAGTCCTCTTCTGGATTGCCTGCAGTGCGATCATGACTTGGTCGAGGCTAGCCAGATCCTCGTCCTGGAACTGGTAGCCAGACATGACTGGCGTGTTGGTGCAGCCCAAGTATCTCTGATTTTCCAGATACATGGCCAGCTCTGACTCATGTTTCCAACTGGGATGCATCGAGTTCAAGACCTTTTCTAACTGTTAGCTTCTCGGTTCGTTACAACAGATCAGGTGACATACTGTAGTCAGACCCTGCTGCAATGAGGCCCAACTCTGCCACTCCGAAGCCTGCCAGGACAGGAGAATGGAGGAAGCAAGGATCGCATCACAGTTGTCTTGGGAGAATGTGCCGATCGCCTTGTGGAGTCTTTGGATGGCGATCCCTCGATGGTGATATGCCAGCTGTTTGGTTTCTTGATTGCGAGTGATCCATGCCAGGTGGGAAGCTGCCATGGTCAAGATGGAGCTCATGACGAAGTCATTGGAGAGGGCAATGGTGAGGAAGCTAGCACGCAGAGACTGTGAGCCAAATGCTTGCGGTATAATATTGCGATTGCAAAGACACTTACGTTGGCATCTTCTGAGCCCAAATGGTGCAGTCACCGAGCCCACGACGGTGGAGATCGATAGAAAGGCCGATGATGTGGTGGACCAGCCGCAGGTCGGTCCGTGATAGCTTACTCCAGCTATTGCGAGGGAAGTGCATCAACTCGGGGAACGGAGGCACGCCCGTGACGTGCCAGTTCTTGATCTCTGCCTCGATCTCCGCGGACATGAGGAGGTCGGGAACGTTGCGGATCGAGGAAGCCTCCTCGTGCACCGCCGCGACATCCATATAGTCACAGCGACAGTTGTGCTTGGTGCAGTTGCGGCTACTTCGGGGTTAGCAGTCGACATATCAGAAACAGAGTGATATGTACCATTGAGGAAAGGTCTCATCGCAGCGAATGTGACGTCTCTTGCATGTCTTGCAACCAAAACGAGACTTGGTGTGGCTCTTGCGAGGCGGACCACCACCGGGACCAGCCATGTTGTCCGACTACTCAGGGTATCTTCAAACACGATGTGTGCCCCAAAGCAACAGGCACAGAGCACAGGAAGATTGTCGTAGAAGGTGGGTTTGGATGGTGACGAGCGAGCGTGGGGGACAGGAGGAAGATCTGGAGGAGATAAACGAAAGATGATGGTGGATGATGAAGAGGGTCAGGATGCGGAGATGGCCCAGTCGCGGGATAGTATGTTCTAATATATCCAAGGGAAATAATGGGCGCCCACGATAGGTCGAAGTAATGCAGAGTCCAAAAATAACCTCGAGCCGCAGCCCCAGGCGAAGATGAACAGACAAAATACACGTGGGAAATACGAGAAAACGGTGCAGTTGAGTGTCAGTGGCCGGCCTTATATTTTGGACTCGGGCTTCTTGATTGCAATCGCTTGGCTACCCTTGGCCCTAAACCACTCTCATAGACACAAGTAGTGGGCAAGGAGGAGGGTGTGTATGTGTGTGAGCAGAAGAGGTGAGGGGGGGGGGGGCCTCTGGGGGGGAAATTGGAGGGATGAAATAGACGAATGAAGCTGGAGACAGACAGACTGGGGGGGGGTGAGAGCCAAAAGATGGAGGAATACACTGAGTATAAAAAGACGCAGGATACCAGAACACAGACAGACAGGCCCAGCACCGGCCGGCCGGTAAGAAAGGATGCAGCCACTTTCAGCTGCGGGTCGAGGGACCGTTACGGTGGATTGGCTTCGAGGTAATTTTGGGTTGATCAGAATTAAAAATCATGGGTCAGTCCGATAATCTTAACATGATAATAATAATGATTAATTAGATAGGAAAGGAATGGAAATAAAAACAAAAAAAAAGAATAAGAAATAATAATCATCAAATAAGCTGAAGAGTGTACGGGGAATAGTCTAGTATAGCGAACCAGAGAATGACAAAACCAAAACCAGTAAATCACACAGCTAGTGCGGGCAGTGTACAGTACTGGCACTGGCAGTTTGTCCATACGGCCGTGACGAAACACCAATGGAAAAAAAGAAAATACAATAATCATAAGAATAAAATCTCCATCCTTAAAATAAAACCAAATAAGCTAAGAACGGGTCGAATCTCTGGGGATAGACTAGGAGCCAAGATGTTGAGCGCCACGGTACGACCGGTCAGATGCTGATCTCCAGCAGAACCACAGTTCCGGTCATGGTGAACAATGCAGGACTAGAACAGGCGATAAGAAAATAAATCAATGGTAATAGACCTGTGGCATCAAAGACCACACACAGCCCAGGAGTAGACCAAATCGAACTCGAGGTTCCGCAGAAGGTCAGCAGCAGCAGCAACAACAACAACAATAATAAGCAAAGAAAGACTATTGTCCCGGTCTATAGGTTCGAGCCCTGTCTCGAATGCTCCAATGCTCCGGATGAATGAGCGATTACAGCAGATGTGGCCGTCATGACGATAGAGGATGACTCCTGATTAGCGGATGATGACTTATGTAGTTGAGTTAGTGTATAGGTGAGTTACTCTAGGGAGTTTAGTTAGGTATGATAGTGTGCAGATTTCCCATCTGATACTGCTCAGCGCAGGGGTTCTGATCTTCTAATCAGTTGCTAAGCAAAAGAATCACGGGCGGTGGGCGGGTGTGGTTTGGAGCCTTGGAGGGGACAGACTCCGGACTCACAGGAGACTTGAAGACTTGAGCCTCTTCGACTGGATTGGGATTAGTGTAATTGTGACTAGGCAAAAACTATGCGATCCATTGAGGATCCATCCATAACGAGGAATCCACTTTCTGCTTCGGGATAGTCTGGAATATCATCATTGGTCGCTACAATAACCCCCAGTCGCTCAGCCCGCCAAAAGGCCAATGGAGACGGAGGCACCGGGGGAGCCACATGGCAGCATCACCGCCAGGTGCTTGGGCCATCAAGGTTGAAACACCCGAAAGCAGATTCATTTTTGCCTCCCTGTCAAAAGAAGGCCAACGAAGATGTGTGTCAGCAAAAATAAGTAACTAACTAAAAAACCGACTAAGTCCCCTTTACTAAATAGAGAATGGCCCTCCCTTTCCGCAGGAAGAATGCTGGATCAGATTGATGAAGAGATAGCGACAGAACGAATGAGAAGAGAAAAAGAAAACACTGGGGGAAAGACTAAATGAAATGAAAATGAAAAATAAGAAATCAGAAAATATGAGGATCAGAGGGAACGGGAGACAGGAACACTCCTGTACGGTAGTACGTAGGAGGCTATCTGTTTCAACCACAAGAGGTGATGCATCCAAATCAGCCAACCCGCTGGATGGTCGGACAATGCAGCAGGTCAGGTCTAAGCCTCCCAGACAATCGGGAATTATTCAAGGTGAACCCCGGATGCCAATCCAATTCCCCGTCACCTTCTGCAAACCTAAAAATGCTGTCTCTTTACTGTAATCATTAATGTCTATCTACATTCTCTTTCCCCCTTAGACTCCGTATCAGAATAGCTCTTACGATTAAGGGAACCAAATTACCCCTTGAGCCGGAATCAGACCATCGAAGCGAAGTGCCACAGCGAATCTAGCCCCCGCGGGTTTGAGGGCGGTTTGTGGTTTGTGGTTTGTGGTGGTGATGGTGGTGGCGGTAGGTGGGTTGTCACCGACGGACAAGCCTCCTCTAAACTCTCTCTCGCCCAAAGGGCGAGTAAAGGTGGGCTATGAAAGTATGGTAGGTTGGCACGCCTCCTTCTCCTTCACCCGTAGGAGGGCTTAGAGACGAGAGACAAGCCAGAGGGGAGAAAAAAAGTCTGGACGGGGTCTGCGGAATCCTCAACCCAAACTCTGGCGGGAACGTAAACATGGTTCCGCAGTGCTGTCTCGCTGTCTCTTTCCGAAACCTCAGGCTCAACATTGGTCGGGATAGCTTTCCCCGTCTTACGAGTTGGGCAATCTGCTACTTTGGTACGGGCGAGTACTATACCTTAGGTAGTGTAGTCTGTATATGTTCTGTATGTGCTGGACATCATTGAGGGATCTTGGTTCGGGTCCGGGGA